AGTAAAACTCGCATTGGGTACCGTAAAATCATTAGGATAATCAGGTTCGCGCACGCCAATGAAACTGGCCGAATATCGAATTCTTAGCTGGAAGATTGAAAATTCTCCGAACGTGTGGAACTCTGCCAACTCTAATAACTCGCCTAAAAATGCGGCAGTGCCTTTACGAGGGCTGTGCTGAGACCTGCCTTCTGTTCTCAGTAAACGCGAGATTATTTTATCCCCTGCAGTGTATCCCAGAATGAAATTGTAGAAAATACGAAATTTTATGTTAAAACTAAAGTAGAGGTGTAACCGTAAATTTAAAAAGATTGCAAAAATAAATGTTGAAAAAGTTTTGTACATTAAAAGGTTAATATGACCGAGTATGACACGTTTCACGAAAATTCCGACCTCGTTTATTTGTTCTATCTTAAAAAATTTGATTACTCGCCTAGAGAAGAAGTCTTCTTGCCATTTTGCACCGTTTAGATGAGCTATGAGCGGAAGTTTGATTCAGGAAACCTGGTTCCGCCTTCATTCTATCTCGAGCTCGCGCTAATGGTGCCTAACTCAATTCCAAGAGGTCGAAGGTTGGACACGCGACTTGGCGAACTCGTAACTCGACTTTCGAAAGAGCCGACTCTATTTCTTGTGAGAGGACGTTTAAGTAAAAATTATCTTGTCAATTGAACAAAGTAAAAATTGTGAAAATTATATTTCAGCTTTATATATGAAAAACGCTACAGTAATTTAGTTCGAAAACGCCAACTAGTATTTTTTATGGATATTAGAAAGAAGTATTAACACATAAAGGCAATGTCTACAAAACTATATATTAAGTATTTTTATATTACAAAATAAAAAACTAAATTCAACTAGCTTAGTGCTTAATATTTAGTATTTGTATGTGAATTTTTAAAAACATTTTTCAGTTCGGCACGCAGTTTAAAGAACTGGAAAATGTTTTTAAAGATAATAAGATTGGAAATAAAACAAGATATAATGGCACTTCTCGAATTTTAGTTTTTAAGGATGTTTTGGCTATACAATATCGGCTAAAAATTTTTGTCATAAATACTCAATCGTAATCAACTACAAAACAACAAATAATTTAACTTACAACAGCTTTATGCAGTAAAATGATTTTGCTACAGGCAAATGACTTTTAAACGAATAAGTGAATCCAAATAAACTTTTGCTCGAATATTTTGTTAGCATATGTAAAAATTTTTAATTTATAATGTTACGACCTCATCAAGTTTACAAATAAATATGCAAAACGTAATTTTATATAAGAATTAAAGCAACAAAAAATTAAATGAATCAGTTAGAAAATTCTGCTCAAATTTTACACAGATATTCAGAGTAACAGAGAGTAGAATATAATCTATAAAATTTTTATATATTTAATAATGCTTTGAGTCTTTGTGTGCTATAATGATTAAGATGATACATACATCCTTAAAAATTTATATACAAATATTAGATACCAATCTAACCTCGATCGTTTTTTTATTTATTTGATTTATCCATAGTATCTAGTTTAACTTATTGTGATATTATATACATAATATTTCTATAACTCTGCGATTTGGTTTGGTATATTAAAATATTTTCTTTTACAGATAAATAAATATCGACAAATTTACTTTCAATTAAACAACAACAACTGGATAATTTTTTATGTGTTCGGTATTAAATATACGGATTAAAGAACAAAAAAGCGAGTAAGCACTTAAAAAATCGTAGACGCCCGGTTGACAGTTTCTACAAATTAAACACGATAATGAACCCTATATGCTCTTTCAAGATCGCCGGCACTTGCCAGTTGAAACGAGGGATCTTTTTCTTTCGGTGAACGATAGCACCGCCTTGAGGAATTCAATGGCGGGGCATATAAAAAACGTGTCGGTTTCCTTTGCCCTAATCGTCCCCACGCGGACCATCGAGCGACTAACTCGATTCTGGCAATTTGTACACTCGCGGGAACGTTCGAATCTTACGAACACTCGATTGCGTCCACAGATAGAGGATCGGATTACAAATACTACTCAAGAGTTCCGAGTCGTTAAAAAATTGCAAACATTTCCGCAACGTGTCCAAAACAGACAAAATATCGAAAATTTTAAAAGCTGAGATAGTTTAAATTTTCCTGCAAAAAATTAGATAAAATTACTTTTTATTATAATACATCTCCTCAGAGAAATATTGAACTCATATTTTGATTTAAACTTTTTATTTGAATTATATACGGAAACTCTCCTAACTTTAATCTCGATATACCCTTTAGTGGTGGCAAACAAGGAATATATGTATATATAAACACACACGTGTTATACCCAACAAAATACGAATCTGGTGCAGCATATTGGTAAATTGAGGATATTTCAATATGTTTTCGCATCCCACGATTGTTGCAACATAATACGCTAACCGATAGCGTGCGCAAAATAGTATTTTATTCGGGTTATACCGCGTGGTATCTACATAAAACCGTGTTTCGTGATATTTCTGTACACAATGAAACTGTGCAATCGATTGGCCTCGTAGACTGGATGCAACTCGACAGAATACATTTATCCATTATTTTTCCGATGTTTTGTAAAATCGACGACGACGTTCGACCTTTCAGCCCACGCTACTATATCAACGCTTTTAGTATACAGAAGGATCTTTCACGCGTTCGTCATATCATCGTCGTGGCTCGCGACAGATCTCGTGAGAAATATGGAAAATAGACACGTATGTTATGTACCGACACATCCGATCGGATCCATTTGTCCATCCGGCCGAGGAGCAGGCGGCAGGAAACGCGACTCGCACAATTCGGGAGATATAATTTTAGATAGAAACGTAGACCGCGCACCACCCTCGCATGAACCCGATACTCCCACTCGCTATCAGCGATATTTCAACTCCCGTGCGGGGTAGAATTTACGTCACGCGTCGCGTCCCATTTTACGCGGAGCTACATTACGATTCGTTCGAGGTAAAAAGTATCCTCGTAATAGAGGCAGCATTATAAATTAATGTTCGCGAGGAGATCTGACGGAAAACCGCGTGGGTAGTTTCCTGTAGATAAGGATATCGACTTTATCGAGGAAAAATTTAACTCGGACGTGTCAAGGAGATGTGTCGAAATGAATATAAATCGCGCGTAGGATACTTGTAGAGAAATCCTTTAATCGTACAAATTGATCTATTCTTGGTATCGGTTTTTTCTTTCTAAATGCAATCTTTTCAGAGCATTTTTTTAAACTTAGCTTTAATCTCCCCCATTTGCAGTCGTATTTTTACTTCCTCCATTTGCAATTTAGTTTTTTTATTCAGCATAAGTTTTTTACTATTTTAGGCTTTAAAAAGAATTTAAGGTACTTTTCAACATCTTTGTCACATTCATTATCAAATTTAGTAAATAGTTTTTTAATTTAAGTTAAAGTCTTTATTTAATAAAAATTGAAATTTCGATAAAATTTCGGTTGTGTCAAAAATTGGCAGAGAGTTAGAGGATAAAATACGTCTATAGTTGAAATAATGTCTGATTTTCGTCGAGGGATATATTCGGCATATATCGTATGGGAAATTGAGCTCTTCGAAATTAGACCGGTTTCAATTGCCATGCGTACGGTATCCGATGGGATCACAGAACATTATGAGCCCCCGGACGAGTGAGAGTGATAGCGGGATAGATTGGGGATCACAGTGCGTCATTTGTGCCCGTTAACACGACACCTCGACCAAACTGGAGAGCAGCTGGTGGCAGATTTTCAACTCGGAAACCAACACAGGACATGGATCCCGCCGCTACGGAGACCGGAAACCGTTTGCGGCAGGGTTACGACGACACACGAGCCATTACAAGGACGATGCAAAGGGATTAAATCGAATCCGCGATTACGTCGTGTGTCTGTTGTGCTTCTGCCTGCTGTTCTCCGTTGGGTGTGTTTCGATTAATTCTCGTGCTGCGGCAAAGATATTCCGAAAGGAAACTTTTCGATTTATAGCGTAATTTTTTCGGAATAGATAATGAAGAATCTAACGCATCAATGATTGCGAAAACATAATTTAATGAAAAAGCAGAGACATTTTTTATTACGGAAGATTCAAAATTTGATCAAATTCTTCTTACGCGAGATCAACCTGTGAACAAAAGTGCCAGTAGAAATGAGATTAGCTGTAGAGATAAATGCCTCTATCTCTTTCCCTTTCTCACTTTTGCGCGGCGTTCCTTATTATCCTGCCGTGATGTATAAGCTGCTTGCCAATTTAGGGATTAACTTTCGACACCCTCGCTTTTCCGGTGACCGAGTCAGCGTTTCCAAGGTTGGAATCCCAACGCGGGAGACGAAGGGCGAGAATTCCAAAGGGAAGGAGAGGTAGAGGAACGAGTTAATCGTCGACCGGAGAACACGGAGGTTGAAAGAGTGTTAAGGTTCTCATCTGATACCCGTGCCAGTCATCCCCCAAGTTTCTTGTAGCTATTCTCCTTCCACCTGCCCCCATTGTACCACCCCATCCTCTGCATCCCTTTCCTTTATTCACTAATTGTTTTCCAACGTTGTCGTAAACAAGTCGCCGTTCCTAAAGGAGCCTCGTAAAACAACCGTGGAAACGCGAACCTCGGCTCGTTTGTAACAAGTTGACCTATTTTAGTCACAACTCGGGACTAATTACCTTTCAACCCTGCGGAGCGACGAAGAAAATGGCGGCGGTCTTAATTCTCAAACGGCGTGCAATTTATTATATTGCGATAGAAATCAAATTGTATTGAACGCGTGAAATTAATCAATATAACTTCCCTTCGATTATTCACGGCTAAAGCTTCATCGATTTCTAATATTTGCGGCACCCGTTATATTTTACATATATAATATATAAAAAATGTAAGTAATAGAGTCATAAGATATTATTTAATAACACAAAAAATTGCAGCATTTAGAAATATTACGACATTATTTTCCATGTCACGTCGTCCGTACCCTTTTTCTCTAATTTACACTTTTGTTATCACGACGCAGATGCTGGACGTCAAGGACGGCGGAAGAGGGGTGTTCGTCTGCAGTAGCCCCGGTCCTGATCCTTACACATCGCAGGACCTTTATAATCCTGTCTACGAGGAGCTCAGCAACGGTAAGTGCCGATAATCGATGTTTACTTTGGCCGGCTTTGCCCGGACGTCTTCTTTTACGCGTCGCAGTTTTTTTACGGAAAAAATCTCGCCGGAAAATCTCGAGAATAACAATGCGACAACGCATAAGGATGAGTCAAAATGTTCACGAACCGATTCGGTTTTGAAAAGATTAACTCAGCGCAAGAGAGAAATTAAATTTATTGTAAGGTTGTTTTAGATTTTAACTTATTAAGTCTTTATCGATTGAAAAATAATGAAATAATACTTTTGTTTTCATATAGATAAAGATAATCTTGGCAAAAAGGTATCTATAGGAATCCTAAATAAAGATATTATCTTGTTATTCTGCGACCGGATTAGTTAAAACTTTATAAAGATAAAATCTAAAACGAGCTATTGAAGATGAAGCTACGCAGAAAAGATGATTTTGTTAAAATAATTAATCTATCTAAAAATTTAGATAGATTAATTAGATACAATTCTCTGGAAATAATTTTTTGGACCATCAAAATAATTACGTAAAATACTTAAGTGTAATGAGTAATGAGCATGCTGCAAAAATTTTGATATTCTAGCAGTCAGCTTGAGCGTTCTACATAATTATTTTAATATAATAGTTACAACAAAATTATTTTTAGATTTTTAGATTCAGTAAAACGGTTCTTTTCATACACTGAGAAAAAAGTTGTTAACTTGATTAAATGCGTTTAATTCCTATTCAGTTCAATTATTTGTATACACTGTAAAAAATAAAATGTTAAAATTAACATTTTACATTTTACAGTATATTTAAGTTCACCAAATCTTGTAATTATTTAAAATATTATTACTTTAAATTGATAAATATTTACTGACAGCCCATTTGCATTTAGTCGAATCAACTAATATTTTTTTTAAACCGCAACTTTTTTTTCAGTCTATACTTTAAATGAGAACACACACACTTGGTGCGTATAAATAATATATTATTAATAAATTTTAATAAATTATCTTAACTAAGCATATTTCTATGCGAATTTTACGAGTTTAATTGACCAAACGATAAACGAATATTTCGCAAGATCATCAAGCTATCCCGTTGCCTTCTCGATGAAACCCTAACGTTCCCATGCAAACGCAAATCACGCACTCTCCTTTTAGATGAGACTCGCCTTTGAAGACGCTGGGGAGTATCCTCGGGGTCGAACATGCCGCGGGAAACGCATAGGTACGGCACGAGTATACGAGTTTTCGAAACGGTGTGTTCGTCTGTCGGTTGGCTTAATACACGATTAACATGCGGCTGCGTTAAACTAGCGTTAAATCCCATCGACTAACGCGCGCTTTGCGAGACTTCCTCTTATGTATTCCCCTCTTTTTTTATTTATTCCTGGTAACTGCGGGACTGCATTTATCAGAATAATCCGGCAGATTCGCGTGCGTCGCGATTTACGGGAAAGTCTGCGGCGTGGGAGATTTATGAGGCAAAAAAGAGTCGATGGAACTTTTTAAGGACGTTGGTACGAAGGATTTCGGAAGCGAGAATCTGCGTGTCGCAGAAGTTCCGGTCTGCGGAGTTCAATGAGTTCGCGAGATTGAAAATGTGCGAAAAAGAAAGATGGGATTTACGTGAATAGAAATCTATAAGATTGAAAAAGGATAAATCTCTAAAGTGAAAAATGAGAAATAGGATGGAAATATATATAAGAGCACAAGAGCATATAAATTTTTAAATTATCGGGAAAGTCGATGAAGATCTTTGTGATCTGAATGGAAGCACAAAATTCAAATCTATATCATTTCTAAGTAATTTTTATATTGTTATTGTAGATTCATGACTCAATGTTAAAAATTTATAAGAGCAGATATCTAAATATCTAAAAATATACACACATATGTATATATATGTACTTAAGAATCAATGAATTAAAAAAAAATAAAAGTCGACCAACTGTATAGTTCACAATATTAATATATCTTTCTATAATCAAAGTGTGAATTTGTTCAACAAACGAAAATCTGATAAACGCAGTTTTACGATGCATCTTCTTGTCTGTTTTTCTCTCATAATTTCTTTGAAATCGTTTCTCCCTCCCCCCCCTCCCTTCCTTTTTCTCTGTCTCTCTTCCTCTCTTTCCATCCGCTCTTCTCCGCCGTCGTGTATTTTACCGAAAGGAGATAAGCATGACACGACCTCTGACTTATACTTCCCATTAGTTGGACGGCTAATTAGTATGGTGATGAGGCTTTCGACGTTTGACGAGGACCTGGTAATCGAATATACATGCTGCACCGCGTGCATTAGTCGTAACCACGGGCTTGGCCCGCGCGTATATACGCTATGTACGCATCGTCGTTCTCCAGTTTCGAAACGAGAGAGAACGTCGATCTCAAAGAGGGTGGTCCTGTCCCTTACGGGCTTGTAAAAACGCCAGAGAATTCAACGGATCCACTCGGCGATCACGTCGACGAGCAGGATAACTTGCGCGTTACAAAATTCATGGAACTGATCAAATTGAACCCTGCCAAAATGAATTGCTTCCTCTTGACAGGATAATTCCCAGTTGCGGGAAATACTTTTAGTAATTGTCAAGATAATTTCGAAATACTGTATATGTTCTTCCACATCTTCCAAAACATTCAACCTCTAACATTTCCCGATAATCTATAATTATTTTTGTACAAAAATATTATTTTATAATTTTAAATTGATATATTTTAAAACTCTCTATACAAATTATTGTATAAAATTAGATTTATTTAACAAACAAATACAATATATATATCACGTACAATATAGATATCACCAAAATGGTTTATATATTAAGAAAATGACGAATGAACGAACAAATACAAGATTTTTTAAATAAAAAACAGATTTATTTAGTTATATAACAGCTCAAGTTGTTATTATTGGTTAGCTCGTGCTATTTTTGTAATCACGAGAAATCGGAGATGACGGAAATTATGGAAAATCCGGAATACGTCTTGATTATCCCCCCTCCCCCTATACTTGTTGGAAGGATATTTCGAGAAGACCCTCGTCCGAGATGACGGAGGATATCTCAAGTGGTTTAATGGCCAGCGAAGTGCGGACTTAATGTTGAGAGTAGAGCCAATCCGATAACACCTCCAATCTGTTAAAGAATAATTCGGCGCGATACACCCCGTCTATCCCACCTCGTTTTCGATCGAGCCCTCCGATCGCGTCTCTTCCGCTCCTCTGCCGTGAGATAAAAATTAATTGGACGAGCCTGTTCAATTTCTCTCAGCGACCGATTTCAGCCGCCACCGCCGCGCGCGGCATCCCGCAGCGTATTCCGGTTCCGTTTCGAAATATCCGTTTTACGCTGCGATTATTTATACGATGTCTCCTTTTTTTTAACGTGCGTATACACGCCCCGCTGTGTCGTTAGTATTGATCGCGGCTCAACCGCGACATTTCGGTGGAATAACGCGAGGCAATTAATGGAGAAGCGAAGCAAGTTTCGTATTGCCGAATCGACGAAGCAAAATTTCGACGCAAAGCTGAATTTGAAGTATCACCTAAATAGATCGTGGATAAATCTATTTACATTCAACGGAGAAATCTTCAATTGTTACAATGCGTTTCTTATCCTAAATTAATTTCGTCCTGAAACTTTATTGCCCAGATTGTCCGTAAGCCAAATCACATCCTTCGCTCCGTAATCAAAATCCATTTTCTTCATTGATATACGATATAGTGTGGAATGGAATTGCGATTGCTGCCTGCATGAAATTTTACAAGACGTTCATTATTAGATAGTCATGCTTCTTACAGAATAAAAAATTCAAATTTTGAATATTATATCAAGACAAAGAGTTAATAAAATATAAAATTTAATAATTCTCTCTTTCTAAGTAAGAGTGGACTAATTTTAATTTTAGAGAACGCTGTTGACATAAATTTTATGTACCTACAAAGTAAGCGAGATTATTAAGCGCTAAGCTATGCTTTTATTATGATTATTAGGTCTTATTTGTCATGTGTTAAAGATAGGATAAGTGAAGATAAACTTTTGAAAATTCTGTTCGTTACATATCGATTTGACCTCCCAGGTCCGTGTTATGACAAAAAGCGTGATAAGTGACTTCAATTTTAAGCAGCTTTGTGTTATTGTTTTGTGTTATATATTTTATTTAAGTACTGTGAAGGGACACGCACGCACACGTACATACACATTATTTATATATTCTAGATTACATACTCTATATAATTTCAAGATTGATAGTATACTTATGGTACATTCTTTCCTTCTTTTTAAGTTACTAATTAAATTATTCGTGTTTATCAAAGCCTAGATTATAAATATTTTATCGTTAAAGTGTAAAATCTATGAAAAACTTGTGTACATTAATTAAGAGTGGCCTTGTACGTAAAATTTACGTATCAATAGCAATATATTATATCACTCAATATCGATAGTGTTTTGAAGTCAATCAACTATTAATATTTTTATTTTTAAAAAGGATTAAATATAAAATAGTGTATAACAGTTAAAATTGATATTGGAAATTAACCTATTAATAATAAAATGATTATTGTAGCGTATACGTATAATATTTATAGGCGCATACACAAGAAAGTTGAGTATAATTATTTGAGCTGGAAAAATCAATAATATTATATATATAAATATATATAAATATATAGGATTGATAAACTTAATTAATTACAACTCAGAGTTGTGACGATATTATTAACCAAATGATATATGATTTAAAAGCTATTAATACACACAATACAATCTTCACAAGAAACAATTATGAAGTCGCGAGAAACAAAACTTACTACATCAAGACCACAACTACATCAGAATTCCACATCTGTGAATCCATATCATGTCTCGAACTCATTTTACCTGAATTTCTCAACAGAAGTGCGACTATAAATATGAATCCATATTTTGCAGCCTTCTCTCTTAAACATATCTTTCTAAATAATTTACCTTCCCAGAAGCTAATTATGCATCTGATTAATTTCCACTGCGCGTTTACCGAGGAATACTCTCGTTTTCTGGCGTCCAATTAACCTTCTCTGATTATCTCAGACAGACTTTATTCACGATTAATCAACTTCCCGTCTCGCTAAGAGTGAAATCCCGCTCTTATCCACGCAATCATCATCATACCGTTATGTTAAACCTTTAAACGAATTTCGATCCCGCAGGGGACCATCCGGAGACGGACGAGGAGAGCGAGTTGAATGCTCGCAATCGTCTGCATCATCATCACCATCATCACCGTCACCATCATCGTACGTCCAACGCGTCCAAACCAGCGAGCGAGGATGAGTTTGCCGAGGACGAGCTATCGGTGGGTGAACCGTCGGAAGCGAGGATGCTCACTTCGAGCAGCGGCCCCACCTGGGGTACGTGCCCCGCCGGTGGCAGGCCACCGCGCGAACGACGCGGCCGCAGCCCCAGGAGCCTCGATCGACGCAGACGAGACAAGAACCACGACATGGGCGAATTCCACGAGGGCATGCTGCTGGACGCGTTGCTTCAACTCTATCCTAGCGTCGCAGGTACGTCGTTTATCAAATTGTAACGATTAGAGATCCTACAGGATGTGTTCGGTGAGACGTTATAAGTTATTGTGTTATTCTATCGTTCATTAGATGTAAAATAAGAATTGAATAACATAAATAGCGCTAATAGCGCCTCAATGAATTTTATAGAATTCTTAAGGCATCTCTATATTATGCATAATATAGACATGCCTCAAGAATCCCGTGATCACAATATTTGCTGATTAGGTAGAGGTGAGAATCATATTCTATTTGTTTTATGTCTAATGAATGATAAAGACAGTATAACATTATACAAATTCATGTAAATCTATATTTATGTACAATGTGTTATTTTTATGCGGGAAACTATTCAAACCCACATATTGAAATCATTTTTTTACACATTTGGATTTGTAGTGTATTCAACGCTATTGTGTCATTCTATCTTTGTCATTCATTAAATGTAAAATAAGGATAGAATACGATTGTTCTCACAATCACGTGACTCTTGCGCATTTCTATTAAACTGTTATAGGGTCTTTAATAACGATATTCTGATAGAAAAATAGAAGGATAGTTATATATAAAAAGGACGATAGAAAAAGATAGACTACGAAGATATTTTCCGAAGAAATTAATTCCGCTCGAAAGATTTTTCGTATAGTTGTAGCGCGCGCTAAACCAATATCTCTAAACTAACAATGATGTTTGCTTATCCGCTCCGTAATTGTTTACTGTTCTTACGTTATTGGCCGGCGACACATCGGCCTCTTGACTCGTTGGTGCTGCTCTTTTTCCTTATTTCTTGGACTCTCCAGCATCGTTTTTCTACCTGCTTTTCGAAGAACTGTTTGCTATTTTAATGTTTACCTAGAGTGTGCAGCTCCTCTACGCAATCGAGCAATAACGTTTTTAGATTCTGGATTCCTGAAAATCTGTCACAATATATTTATGTATAAATTCTTTTGCCTATTTCTTATAAAATCGATTAAAATTTAATAAACTTGAATCGAAACTTCTCGAATGTAATGCATTTTTCTCTATCAAAGTAATATCTCATCCTGCTATTCTCGTTTTTCTATATCTTCAATTTCTACCTCAATTTCCTATTTTGATTTCCTACCTCGATTTCCCAACTCTGCGTTAACTTTTCAACTTTGTTATAGCATTCTAGGTATATAAGAGCATCTCCAAGCTCCTACTGATTCGAGTCTCCGGTTTCAGGCGTAGCCGGTACGCGAACAGGCAACGGCAGCACCCAGCGTCAGCAGTCCGTCCCGTCGGTGGCACACAGGTTACCATATTTTGTGCCACCCTTGCCGGCTGCACAGGCTCCACGACTCGAGGAGAACCCCTACGAGAGCGTGCCGGTGCTGGGCCCCCTGCATCGTTATTCCACCCAGAACAGGAGTAACAAGGATCGTTCGCGCAACGGCAAATCGAACAACGACAAGTACAAGTATCTGTCGTCGCAGCAATACGGCGGTGACTACTATGGTCTGCAGGGCCAGTCTGATGTCACGACACCGCTCTACACCCAGGTGGGCGGCGAGTACTCAGACACGTACTCGCAGCCAACCGATCGACTGTTCGGCGACGATAAGTACAGCCAGCCAGTGTATTACACGAACTCAACCCGGGACTCGGCGTGCGATCAAGTAACCAATGCCGGTCGATTGTATCAGGGCCAACCTGACAGCAGTTTTGGTAGCGACAGCGGTTACAGTCATCACACGTCCGGTACCACTGGTACTACTGGCACCACCGGCACTCGTGGCAGCAATTCCCGAACGAATCATCGCAGGGATAAGCAACGAAATTCTCATCACTCACATCATTCTGCGGAGTATATCGTGTCCTAATGGAGGACTGATCGCGACATCTTTGAGAATTCTCTTAAAGATGTGCTCTCGCTAAGAGAAAAGAGAGAAAGACAGAGAGGCAGGATGAGATCTCATTTCTGTCATGTTATTGTCGTGATTGAATGATGACACCTATCACGCGCATTCGTTAACGGAGAAAGCGGCTGACGCCGATTCGGCTGTGCTGAACTGCTGTATTTTGATACTTCGACGTCCACAGTTAAGAGTCAATAAAGGTATTCTTATCGCTTCGGCATATCAAGTTACGATGATCGTGTTGAATGGCTTGATCGTCGAAGCGATGAGAAAAGACCCGCGAGCAAGTGACAATTCGGACTTGACGAGAGAAACGTAGTGATCTCTTTAGTGATTTATACATGTAGCTGACACGCAAGACTATGTAACAAATTTATTTGTAATCCAATGAGACTCAGGCTGGTACCAAAGGACGCTAACGATTACTTTTATCTTTTTAGTCCAATCCTTTGTAATTTATATACGTAGAGAAAGAACGTTAACCGCGGAACGAATCGACTTCGTTCTCGTCGTGATATCGTCGCCTACAAATCGTGCGACTACCAATCGCGAAAAGTTACGAAGAAACACTGTCAAAATCAGCCTAGGCAATCAATCCCATCGTTCTTTCAAGTAAATCACAATTTTGTAAACTGACAAACATGCGGAAATGTTCGAAATTGAAACCCGCCGGAGAACAAGAATTTGCAAATCTGCCTATTATAACATAAAATTTGATAGTCTTAAAATGACATCAAAAGTTGCTAAATGCAAAGTCTAAGACATCAAGATTTTGTATTATTGCAGTATTTCTAGACCAATAACGAGGTTATTTAAAATGAATAGCGCAAATTACGAAATAAGCGGGTCTCGATTACGTGCGTTTTCTCCCTTCAAATTAACCGATCCACTGCCAATCCAATCCTAAACGGTTGGACGTGTTCAACCGACCAGCAAGTTTCGCACAAACTTTGATATGACGAGTAATTTTTGTCTCGCCCTCGGAGAAACGGATTCGATCGCACATATAGTAGGAAACGTTAGATAGTATCACGCAATTATCTAGTCTGATAATAATCACTTTTCGTACCAACGACGCAGACGACGCTTTAGGAAGCCTCGTCAACGCGACACTCATGCACACTGATAATAGTCTTGTAATAATAAATGCACGGTAAATTAACGTTGAGCCTTCAAACCATTTATAAATAGAAAAACAGAATAATGTATGTTGAAATTTAATCGCCAATTAAATTATGACGAAAGCATTATGCTGTTTTTTGCCATTCTCAAAAAAATTATCAATTTATTTAAAAAAAGATAGAAACTTATTTATAATGTACTATTTATGTGATGGAATGTTATTTAATATAAACTAATGTAAGTAATATTTCAGATTACAATAAATACATTCCTAAGTTTTTTAAATTTGCAAAATGGTTACACGATTTTGATATAATAAAACATTTTGCAACTATCGAAGTAAAGCATTATTAATGATCTATTGAGCTAAGTGAAGTAAAATTAAAAATTCAATCTTATTTTTAAATTTGAATTTTTTCTACTATTTTTTGTTTTTACACAGATAATAAAGTAACGAAATAAAGCAGATTGTTTTAACCAAGTTCCAACATATACACAATACAATTTCGGAGATCGTAGATGCCACACGTATCACTGATATCATCGCATACACTGCCGCTAAATGCATATACATATACATATGTATATTCGCGCTACCACGACTGGAAATTTTTGGGCGCGCGCGTGAGCTTTTTATTTTTGTAATCTTACTGCGGAAATGTAGAACTATAAAAGTCGTTCGATAAGAAGGAAGGAGTGAGAGAAATTTTATTCCCGAGGAGAGAATCTACCTTCTCGTGCTCTGAAAAAGCTTTCCAATGAAGCCGCGAATTTTCGTTCGCGATACTTCTCATATCATTCCTTCTGAAATTGAAGGTCTGATGACTGGAAAAATCTTCTTTCCCAATCTCACAATAGTGCTTTCTCGATCGTGAATCGCGTTTTTCGAAAAGAAACCAAAGGCGAAACACCGTGATCACTAACAAAGTCTCGCTGTTGTCAATAATGTAACAGAGACCGCATGTTAGGAAATTCATGAGTCGCAATTGCGGCATGCTCGTAACTTCAGCTCCATTCCAAATCGCCATTTGGGCGTATGCTAGTTTATTGTGAACAACGACTCAACTAGACGACTCCGCGAATGGCCCAAATTTACCCACGTGCATTATTAAGTACATTATTACTGCGATCGAGTCCGTTATTATATCGAGCGCCTTTATAAACAATCCTTGATCGGTAGTCGCACGTGGACGACTCGCGAGTTTGCAGATTGTGGCAAATCAATATTGATTTATTCCTCAGGATGTTACTTCGTCCCGTTAAATTATTAACAAATGCAAAATCACTTTGGATTACGTCATTGTAACTTTATACTCAAAGAACAAAACGCCTTTCAAGAATTGCAGTGAATCAAGCTAGTCACAAAACGTTAGACAAATCGAAAAACATTGTGATGTAGTAATATTGATATATTTCTTTTTTTACGTCGGAACGAAGTGACACCACCGGAGGTGCGAGACAGTTCAAGCTTTTGGTATACTGCGAGATAGACCAAAGCGAGAGCGGGACGCGAGAGAGTGAGAGGGAAAGTGTTCGTGCTAGAATGTACAGACGCACGTCGTTAGTACACCGTAAAAATACCGCTATCCCCTATATACATACCGCATGTGTAAGAAAGTAAACGGTAATCGACGAACAGTGTATATAGAGAACCGGGAGGAGGCACTCCACCCGTGTGTAGCATAGCTGTACCATAACGATATCGTTACCGAAATCTTTTCCCGTGCGCGTACAAGAACGAGAAAAAAAGATTGAAATTTAATATATATATATATTAAAAAAGCTATTTATAGAGGGAAAGAGGCGCGAGAGAAGAGATTATAAATACGAATATAATTTTTAAATTATTTGTAACGGCAGGCGCACGTCGCAACCATGGCGACGAAGATAGGAAAAGGAGGAGAATTCATTGTATCTTTCCTTTTCGGAGCGAGAGGGACGATTCGCAGGAAATAAGTGTCGGAAAGGAGGCCCTTAGTGTTTTCTGAAGCCTCCCTCTCGCTTCTCGAAATAGTGCACGCTCTCTTTTTAGACGCGCCTAGACGCGAATACCTCAACACACAAAGAAATAATCGCTCTGTTGTAAATATAATTTTATATGTACGAGCCGGCGAGATTACAGTGGTTTGCGCGATCGACAACAACGAGGCCAGTTTAAGATTGCCGCAAATATTAAGATTTCTAAAATAACGATATTATGATTGAAAATATAAACTCAGCCTTCGTTTATCGAACGCGGTTTCTACTTTATGACTGGTGTTTGTAGTTTGTTCTTAATTTAAGATTGTCTTAAGTATAATAACATCTTAAGATGATAATATGACTTTATGATTGGCTTATAACATCTTAAGAATGTACTTAATACGATTTTAAATATAAGAATCGATAAATAATGAATACCAGTCTATCTTCTTATCATTAAATTGTAAAATAAATTATTTTAAAACACGAGAGCCAATGAGGAGTTGCGATTGGAGTAATTATTGTTGCACCAAGTTACTCCACTCGTTAAAACACATTTACGATAGCTTGAATTTTAAACAATACTTGCATTGCTATTAATTTGGAATAATGAATATTTAAAACCTGGCTGTTAAAAAATTTTGTATAAAGTGAAGGCGTTTATTGGCAATTTTGGATTTTCTATATTAAAATGTTTCCACGTTAAAATCGGCCCTATGAGTATCGAAACGATATGCCGTTTAATGATAACTCGCGCAAATCGAAAATCACGCGGCGCAACAACTATTTGTGTTTTTATACGGAAAACTCGATATGCGCGAGTTTGCATTACACCCGGGAATTGATTGATCGCGCAACGCTGCCGTTAATGTTATGTCAACCTGACGCTCCCGAAAGTCGTGCTCTCGATCTTAAATTATTCTAGATGATACAATATAGTACCAGCAATAATAGTTCGAATAATCCAAGTATCTATTTCAGTCCTTTATTTTTATTATCGTTATTTCTTGAGTAAGTTAAATGCACGCCACATTTCCACACCTTCATCAGCACGATTAAAGTGATTCATCAATTTATTGTTGATTATTTTCTTGCGTCCTTCGGACTTCACAAATTACAAAAGATTTCAGCAAACAAGCTAAATTAGTTGGGAAAGTGCGAAATAATCGAATAATCTATACTGATTTAATTTGAAGCAAGGAAAAGTTATTTCTTTCTCCGACACGATCTTTGACTTTCTTACGATAAACTACAAGCAGCTCACCAGTATTATTTAATTATTTCATTTATTAATGAATTAACGAATCGTAACGAAGCGACTTTGCAAATTACGTTGTAGCGCTCTTCGGAGCACTTCGAATCCGAATCCGAATCAGGAGCGAAATTTCTGATTAGCAGCTAATTAGCTCGATTTCTTAAATTAGACTAAGGCAGCTCTCATCGTTCCTCAGGAAGTGTATATTCGAGCCGAATAAAATAATATTAAATTGCGAGAGCATGACTGACTAGAGCGCGCGAGCGAAAGCGGGAGAATGAAGGTGTATAGTGTGTACTTATCACGATGAGAGTCACGCACGATCAAAAAGAAAACAGTGCATACAATCAAAGTGCGCACACGATGCGAAAATGTCAGGCGATTCAAAGATCGAAAAAGATCGATAGAAATGCGTATAGGAAAAAGAATACGAAAGGATCGAGCTTTTGTTTTTTTTGCGTCCATGTTAATTGAATGTTTGGAGATGTTGTTTTATCTTCGTTTTATGCATAGCTTATATAATACATAACAACGGAAATCTAAGTTATTCTTGTTCTTATTTTTAGTGGGGAAACTCGGAAACCCCGATCGAGTGCGGGATCTTTGTTATGAGGATCACGATTAA